AGGCGGAGAGCTTGACAGCCCAGACAGGGCTGTATTCGACCATTCTCCATAGGCTCCACCCATTGTTTGGCCCAGAACGGGTGTAAAGGCTGCCGGGAATTTTCAGTGTCTGAGCACCCAGTTATGGGTGGGAACGGCCCAAGCGGGCCGGGTGGGAATTTAGGGTTTGGGTGGGCTCAAGCTAGAACACTGCCGCAATCCTGGAGGGCTCATTCCAAACTCTTCCGTGTTCGGCTGCAACGAAAAAGTGAACCGTTTAAGTGTGGGTTTAATTTAGGACTTAGGGTTTAGGGGTTTAGGGTTTAAGGGTTTAGGGTTTAGGGGTTTCGGGTTTAGGGGGGCTTATGATCTTTACGACGTCCAGCTTTACCCCAAAAAACCTGAACCACTAAGCCCGAAACCCGAAAACAGGACAAGTAAGCCTCCAAAAATCGCAGCCTGCCGCCAAGGAGCTGCCGCGTCTCAAGATGCGCCGCTTCTATCAATCAATGTCTGGCCAAACACGACGCACAAGGCACGAGGCGTAGAAACCCTAAACACTAAACCTAAAGCTCTTACTTGTGGGATGGTGCGAAGCTTTTCATGCTCTAGCCTGTGAAAACCTTTTGCTGGTCCATGCTGGTTCACACGATCGAAACATCCATCTTGGAGCCAAATGCGCGCGCCGCAGTGCAAAAATGCCGCAAAACCTTACAGCTTCCACAGCAACAAACAAACCTAAAGCCCCTCAACCCTAAACCCTAAACCCAAAGCCCTAAAGCCTAAATCCCTAAAGCCCGAAAGCCTAAACCCCTAAAGCCTAAACCCCTATATAAGCCCTAAACCGTAAACCCCGAAACCCTAAACCCTAAACCGAAACCGAAAGCCCTAAACCCTAAACCCAAACCGACAGCTCCAATCGCCGTGAACCCAAAACCCGCACTTCGAAAGCCCTTAAAGCTACGCTTCAACCGTCAGCACCCGAAGCCCAAATTTTAGGGTTTCAGGGCTTAGGGGTTTAGGCGCTCAGGGGTTGAGGAGGGTTCAGGGCTAAGGGTGTAGGATTTAGGGGTTCGGCTTTAGGGCTGAGGGTTTAGGGTTTAGGGTTTAGGGTTTAGGGCTGAGGGTTTAGGGTTTAGGGTTTAGGGTTTAGGGTTTAGGGTTGAGCCCTGAGTTACCGTAAACCCGAAGGCCCCTTTGGCCTGAACCCTAAAAGCCCTCTGAGGCCCTAAACCTCAACCCTCAAGCCCTTACCCTAAACTCTAAACTAGGGTTTTAGGGTTTAGGGTTTAGGGTTGAACCCACACATCTTAAGGCCCTAAAGTTTAAAAACATGGGCAGCCGTGCTGCGAAACCCCCCAAAAAACACAGCCTAAAGACCCTTCCTGAACTCCCTAAACCCTCAAACTCTGAAGCCCTAAACCCTAAACCCCGCAAAGTCTAAAGCCTCAGCCCTTTCGGCCCCAACCCTCTAACCACCGGTCCGTTGCTTGGTGGCCTCTGTTTCGTTCCAAATCCTCCCCTGGTCACACTGAGCTTGGAAACTCCGCTGGCCTGCGTTCAGAGTTCAGGGTTCGGGTTTAGGGCTCAGGGAAAAAAATGGTTTGGGTTTAGGGTTTAGGGTTTAGGGTTTAGGGTTTAGGGTTTAGGGTTTGGGATTTGGGGTTTAGGGTTTAGGTGGCAAAGTCCGGTCGTAGGAGGCGTGAGGCAGACAGTGAGACATCGAAGAGCAAATAAAGGGCTGCGTTCAGTGTTTGGGGCTGATAGGGCTTAGGGTTCAGGGTTAGGGCTCGGGTTCAGGGGGTTGTCTCGAAAGGGTTTGATACAGCTTATATGTATATATATATATATATATGTAGGCATACATATATATATATATATACATGTGTATATATATATATATATATATATGTATCTCTCTCTCTCTCTGTATATACACACACATATTCATATATATATATATACACACACACACATTCAAACAGGTTTCTATAGGCGGGATGTGGCTTCCACAGGCTTTCACAGGTGGTTTTCTTTTTGAGAGTTGTACAGTGTTTCTGTCTGGGCTTGGAAGTGAAACTTTCAAGCGGTGATAGGCCAACCCCAAACCCTAAACCCTAAACCCTAAACCCTGAACCCTAAACCCTAAACCCTAAACCGCTTCATAGGGTCCGGGGGATCGGTAAAGACAAGCGAAAGCTCGCCGCCGGGCAGGGAATCGGATCAGACGTCAGACACAAAACACCAGATCGCGAAACCCCTAAACCCGAACACCCCTAAACCCCTAAACCCCTGAATCCTAAACCCTAAACCCCTGAATCCTAAACCCTAAACCCCAGCTAGACCCTAAACCAAACCCTACACCCTAAACCCTAAACCCTAACCAGCCGGGAGCTCGCGGCTGTAGGAACCGCTGTGAAAGGGCTATCGGCAGGGGGCTTTTGGAGCTGTGTCGGCTTTGGTGTTGGGTGTGTAGGGTGTATCGCGGAAACAAGTTGAGACACCCCAGTTACCCCAGTTACCTACTTCAAATTTAGGGTTTAGGGTTTAGGGTTTCATGGGTGGTTATAAGTGGGGGTGATAAGTCCCCGAATATAGGCCATAATTATAGATCTCCTACCTATTGCCCCACTGTTACCCTAGTTACTTAGTTCTGGTAATGTAGGGGCCTTACTGATTAGAATAAGGTTTTGGGGTCCTTTATAGTATACTTATAACAAGGAACCCCCCAAAAATAGCATAGGTAATTATTAAGGCCCCCATATTAGGGCTCTTGATCTCGATCCTAGGCCTCTGCGCATGCCCTGAACCCTGACCGTCCCCATACCTTAAGCCGTAAGCCCTAGGCCGGGGGCCTTAATAATTAGAATAGGGTTTTTGGTGCCCATTATA